GGGACAGCCGGGGAGGGTGGGTGCGCCCCCGGGAACGTGGGGCGTCGGAGCTCCGGGCGGGGACCCTCGAGTCGCGGTCAGCGCCGGGCTCCCCCACCCCGGCCTGCCTGGCGCAGCGCCCGGCCCGAGAGCGCGCAGAGCCGCGGGGTGCTGGAGGTCGCGCGCTGGCAAGTTGGCCGTGGCGAGGGGCGTGGCGGTGGGAGAGCGCGTGGCCGGCCCACGGACCCCTGCTGAGAGCATCTTTGAGCTACCTTGCCAATGCGCTCCTAATGTGGCTTCAGATCCAGTGGCCCCTGCGGGCCTGGCACCTGCCCAGCCCTGCCCTCCCCATCCTCGGGCTAGCAGAGGTGTGGCGAGCTAGCCCACCAGCGTGGACCCCGCGGGCCCTCTGCCACCCACCTACTCCATGTCCCCCAGGGTCCCCAGATACCTTTGGTTTGCTCCACCGAATGCTATGAGTCTATACACGCACACACACAATTGGTTTGCTCCACTGAATGCTATGAATCTGCACACACACATTGATTTGCTCCACTGAATGCTATGAGTCCACACACACACACACACACACACTGGGTCCACACTTGGAGAGAGGAACCTTGTGACTGAGAAGGGATAAAATAACCATCCAGGGTCATGTACGGTGACCAGCTCCTCATCACAGCTGTGGGCCGGTGGCGGGGAGCAGGTGGGGTAGGGTTGGCTCCCAGGAACCAGTGGGGTTTTAAAGTTGAATTCTCTGGCTCTTGTTTACTTTCTTGGTGACCTTGGAAGCCTTTCTAGTTTTGTTTTTTAATACAGTGGTCTGGAGTTGTTGGGTGTGGTGGCTCAGTGAAGCCAGAACTTGGAAGGTGGATCTCTGTGAGTTCGAGGCTAACCTGGTCTGCATAGTGAGTTCCAGGCCAGCTGGGGGTACAGTCTCAAAAAGACCAAGACAACAAAAAAAAGCAGTGGTCAACAGGCAGCAAGCCAGGCCCGCCTTGGGCCCCAGACGCCCACCCACCTCTGTCTGACAGAACTTGCTTTCTTCTTCTTTGTCTGTCTGTCTGTCTGTCTGTCTCTCTCCCTTTTTCCTTTTCCGTTTTTTGAGAAAGGATCTCATGTAGTCCAGGCTGGTTTTGAACTCACTATGTAGCTGAAGCTGGCTTCAAACTCCTGATCCTCCTGCCTCTACTTTTTTTTTTTTTTTTTGGTCTTTTTGAGACAGGGTCTCCCTGTAGCCCCGGCTGTCCTGGAACTCATTATGTAGACCAGGCTGGCCTTGAACTCACAGAGATCTGCCTGCCTCTGCCTTCCGAGTGCTGGGATCAAAGGCCTGCGCCACCACCCTGGTCTGTTTTTGCTTCTTAAGTGCTGGGATTACAGGTAAATGCTACCCTGCCTATCTGGAGAACGAAGGTTTCCAAGCTTGGGGAAATAGGGGGAATTTGGGGCGGGTCAAGAAACACATGAAACGTTTTTAATGCCTCCCTGACCGAGTTTTTTCCTTTTTCATTCTTTTCTACAAATTATTTTTATTTTATGTGTATGAGTACTTTGCATGTTTGTGCTATGTATGTAGTGCTCCAGGAGGTCAGAGGAGGGCATTAGATCCCCTGGAACTGGAGTTACATATATGGTTGTAAGACACTGTACAGGTGCTGGAAACCAAACCCAGGTCCTCTGCAAGAGCAGCTGGTGCTCTTAACTGCTAAGCCATCTCTCCAGCCCACCCACATTTCCCACCTTTTTTTTTTTGAGACAGGGTATTACTAAGTAGCCTCACTGGCCTGGATCAGAAGTATGCCTGCCTCTGCCTCCCAGGGGCTGGGAATAAGGTCATGAGCTACTAGGACGCCAGCCTCTGAGTTGTTTTTTTTTTTCCTTATGAATATCACCAACATTTGGATGGAATGATCTAGTTAATAATGCCATTGACAGAGATACCAACTATGAATATTTTGGCATGCTTTAGGCACCTGGTACGCCGGTGTTGTGAAGAACATCTTTGGGTGTTTTTGGGCATGTCCCAGGCACGGATCCCTACAGGAAGTCAGCCTGCTGGGCAGAGACGCTGAAACCTCTGCCAGATGCCCTTCCAAGGTGTGGGTCCACCCTGCGCTCCTCATTGTGGACAGACATGCTGTTTCCTCCCTCTTTGCCACTTTGATTTTAATTTCCAGCTGATGGTGATGGTGAACATCCTTTCATTTTTTTAATTGGCTATTTGGAAATTGCCTGTATGTGTTCTCTGCTCATTTTAAAGTTTCTATTGGGCTGTGTGTCTTGGTATTATTGATTCTAGGAGGTTAAAAAATTACATTAATTTATCATTTGTGTGTGTGTGTGTGTGTTTAGGTCAGACGACAACTTGCAGGGATTGGTTCTCTTCTTACACCCTGTGGGTCCTGGGGATTGAACACAGATGGTCAGGCTTGGTGACAAGTGCCTTTATGTGCTGCACCATCTCACCAGCCCTGATTCTGGTGTTTTTAAAGTTAGGGATTTCAGCTCACCTCTGTCATATACTTGAGTGTGTTGTGTTACTGTTTCCCAGCTTGTCTAGTTCCTGCCTGCTTCCCTCCCTCCCCTCTCTTCCTCGATTGTCTTCCTATGTAGCTTAGGCTGGTCTTGAACTTGGCAGTTCTCCTGCCTCAGCCTCTGCAGGGCTGTGATTGCAGGGACTATCACTTTCTTTTGACTTTGGAGTTGCTGTTTTCTTTCCTTCCCTTCCCCCCCTCCCCTCC